ACACCCACCTGAACATGTAAGATAAGGCCTCGGTTTAAAGTGTCAGCTAAAAGATGGCACCTCCAACAGTACAGCACTGCCTCAGTACAGCACAGAGGCGAGAGTGCTACTAAGCGAGCAACATTTGAAATTCAAGAAGACGAATGTTGATAAGTATGGTGTGATCACACAATCTGATTATCTCCTAATGAAATAACCTCTGAAAACACACAGATCCCAGTGTCTCTCAGTTCGAGAAGGCTTCCCAACACTAGCTTCTACAAAACAGCAAACAAGATTTGGTCACCAAGAATTTATTTTCTAAATACACAGTTCAGACAGGAATTTCAAAGACAAGGAAAGAGGTCCCATGACTACGGCAGGGATCAGTACTGGGACCATAACTGTTCAAAATCTAAATTAATGATTCGGACACAATTTATTAATTCCAATTTTTAAGACAAAACTAGGTGGAAATAGAAGTTTGAGAAAATGCAAGGAGGTTTCAAGGGGACTTGAAAAGCTAAAATGAATAGACAAAAATGACATGTTTTAACACAGAAGCGTGAGGTTATCCACGTTAGTTGAAAAAAACAGGAAAGCAGAATGTTTCTTAAATGGCACCAATTAGAAAATTCTATTGTCCAAAGGGAGCTGGATGTTCTTGTTCACAAGTCATGAAACGTTAGCAAGCAGGTACAGCAAATAATTTAAAAAGAGGCTGGTCTTCAATGCAAGGAGCTTTGAATATAAAGATGTCTTGCTGCAGTTATATACAGCCTTGTTGTGTACAGTTTTGGTCTCCTTGTATAAGCAATTATATACATGCCACAAAGGTGGATATGGAGTAGGCAGGAAAGCGGAGTTGAGACCAGAATAAGATCAGCCATGACCATGCTGAAGGTGGACTGGGCTGAATTGACTACTCCCATTCCTAATTTCTATGTTCCTAAAGTGAGTGCAACTGAGATGCACCAGATTAATCTCTGGGATGGAGGGACTGTCCTATGAGAAGAGGCTGAGGAAATTGGACCAGTATTCTCTAGAGGTTTGAAGGAGGAAAGGTGATCACATAGAAACTTATAATTCCCTTACAAGGCGATGTAAATACGATGTTTCCCCTAATTGGTGAGTCTCGAGCCAAGGAACACAATGTCAGTATAAGGCAAAGGCCTTATAAATGAGACAACTTGGAATTTCTTCACGCAGGGTAGTGAAATCCTTGGAATTCTCTACCCAGTGGAAGCTGAGTCATTAAGGTTCTAGTCAGAAATTACTTTGAAATTGTAGGATTTGCAGGGAGGATCTTTTTCTCATGTTGACATTATTTTCAGAATGTGTGTGGCACTGGTAGCCCTAGTATTTATTACCCAATCCCTAGTATACCCCAATCTGTTAGTACCCTTTTTCAATGGTTCGATAAGAGTCAATTTTGGCAAGTTTGAAAGTCGAGTTCATGTTAGCTCTGATGACCAGGCCTGAGAGTCACCTCCTTATCATTTATAATCAGGCTGCTTTATATCAAACAACAGTCTCAAAACAATTCCTTTCTAGCACTGGGCTAGAGATCTGCTGCTGGGTCTGTGGAGACAGAAAACAGGACTGTAAATAGAGAAAATAAGGTCAGAGAAGCCTATAACACAAGGTATTTATAAAGCACCTTGAAGCAAAGTTCTCTAAGGTGTATCACAGGAGAATTATAAAGCAATGAATGACTGTACAGAAGGTGATATTGGAGCCAGTGACCAAGTCCTTAACCGAAGAGGCAGGCTTTCAGAGGCATTTTAAAAGGAGGAGATGGGGTACAGGGATGGAGAGGTTTAGGGAGGAAAGTTCAAGCCTAGGCAGTTGAAGACACGGTCACTAACAATAGTGTGATTTAGATGTGAAATGCACAAGGGGTCATAATTTCAGAAGTGCAAAGATCGGGGGTAGAAGAGCCAGGAAAGGGCTCAGGAATAAAAATTTTAAAACAGCCTTTGCTTAACCAGGAGTCAAAGTAGGTCAGAAAACACAAGGGGAATAAGGATAACAAATGAACAGAATTTGGTGCAAGATACTGGCTGCAGATTTTTGACCTCAAGTTAACAGTGTGCAGATCAGCCAGTTGTGCCTTTGAAACACTACAGATGCCAGTCAATCTTAATTTCAAAATGAAAACAGCTGCAGTGCTTTTAAAACTAAAAACATGATTAAAATACAGCTACTTTTTAAAAAAGGGTTAATAACAGTGATATCCAGGAAGTTAGAAGTCTGCAATTTCACCAGTTGAGGGCAACAAAGCCCACCTTTCCTAGATCAAAACCGAGAGCACTGGAAGAACATTCACAGCTCGCAAGATACAGCATGTTCTAAGGCAGGAGGAGGTGGAGTAGTAAAGAAGGGGCGACCCCAAACACACACAATGTCATAGCCTTACCTGTTGCTTCATGAGGAAAACTTGCTCATCCTCTGCAGCCACTTCTTTGTCATGGACAGGCTGGAAAAAGACAGACTCAGATGAAAATTAAAGTGTTGACAGCACAAAGAAAACAGCAACATGCGTCTTTTTTCCTTTAAGTGGTCAGCTCTTGCTGGGCCAGAGGATCAAATATGAGAAAAGGAAGTCAGCCTCTGGAGCCTGTTCCAGAACATTATCGCATGATGGCTGATTTATATCTTAACTTACTGCCTTGGTTCTGTAACTCTTGATAACCCTGTCAAATAAAGAAGGACGAGCAAACTCAGCCTTGAAATCTTCAATCAAACTTCAGTCCGAATAGCTTTTCTTTGAAAAGGGGTTGATAGAAGAGTTTCAGATTTTTATAAGGAACTGCTTCTTTACATCACCTCTGAACAGCCAAACTCTCATTTTAAGTTTCGTATTTAGGTCAGATTTCCCCCACCAAGTAGAGGAAATTACACCATTTCTCTTGATCTATCTGGTCAAATTCTTTAATCATCCTTAAGACTTCAATTAAATCACTCTTAAATCTACTACACTCAAAGAAACACAAGCTTTGTCTATGCAATCTGTCTCTGTAACTTAGTACTTGTAGTTGCTATCAATCTGGTGTACCTGCTCTACAACAGACCCTTCCTGCTGTAGTGTCCAGAACTGAACACACTACTCTAAATGAGGCCCCCAAAACTCACGCTAAGCTAATTTAGATGTCAGTAACTTCCTAAAAGGTCACTCTGTGTCTGAGCTCAATCCTCCAGGAATTAGAAGATTAATCTCCTGGACAGTGATTAGTGTAAGGAAAAAAGTTAGAGATCTTGGGAGGAGAAAAGTGCATTTTTCTTCCCCCATTTTCTTTAAACACTTTCAACTTTGTGATAAAAATATTAGAGGTGGTAAGGGAGAGAGAAAAGACAAAGAGAGAATTTTTCTAAAAGTCTCAATAACGACAGTGAGCTACTTAACAATGACATAAATCACAATTAAATTGATCCCGTTATGATTCCACATTCACTTAAATGCACCTTCCTGCACTGGTGACTGGACAATCATCAGAACATGCAATGCTCCTTTTTTAATGGGTACTAAAGTGAATTTTAGCGTGCTGTGACTTTGATTTGGTTCTAATCAAAGTGCATTGAGGTGGAATTTGATGAAACTGGTGGTGAATTAAAAGAAAGACAGTCAGCCATAAAATCATTCCCCGTGCCCCTACCCCAAAATGTTCCTCCCTAATTTGTTTCATTTAGAATGATTAATCCATCTATCAATTTTTTTCTCATTGCAATCCCTAGTTTAGTGCTTGGGCCACATTCTTCATATCTTTCCATGTATCATTTGCAAATTTCCAAGTGGTTATCTAACACTCTCCTTTAATAGCTGCAATTGACCCAATGTCAGTCACCATTTGTAACCATGTGCTCCATACTCTATTAGTATTCTATATATAATTAACTATAAACCCTTTTCCTCCCCTCACTCCCCCAACACGTTACAATCTAAGCTGGGACATGGGCGACTCTACAGCATCTCACCAACTGAACATTCTTCTGTAATGGGAGCCCAGCTAATTAGACTCAGTGGGCAGCTTGATTGAGAGTTGGCTGGTGGGCTTGGGGGTTTCTGATCACAAGCTGCTGCCTTCAGGAGCAGAAAACAATGAACCTTTATTCAAGCAATATAGCAAAGCGAACGCAGGTACAGCTTATTAACTACATTACCTTTTTGACTAGGGGTTTCCCGATTATATCCTCATAGGCATCATCTTGTTTGACCGTTGCAAAATTCTCATGTAAAATAGCAATTTTCTTATCTTTGTCCCATCCTGCAGGGCTGAAAAATACAAAACAAAGCAAAGGTGGAATACCATAGCTGATGCACTTAAAATCAATTGTTGCTCAAGGTAAATCAGAGAATGTGCAATTTTACAAGGACAGCAATATCAAACATCAATATATGGATACATCAAACAGCTCCATCACATTTCAGCAGAACCTCCGGTTCTCTGTTAATTAACACTAGAGATCTGCTAGCAATATAGAATGCTTATAAAGGAGTGGCTTCAAGACTGCAAGGTATACTTGCACGCAATCAATAAGAGACACATAGCAATTATATTCTTCCTGGTGTATTTGCATAATTCTGAAGTACATTAAGTCAGGTCAGATACTCACATAAAAACTGCATCTTTCTCCACCACTAAGGCAGGTGTGGTAAACTGGAAATCATACATTTTGTGGACAAGATATTTATACAAGAGATCAACATTCTTCTCTTCTTTTATTGATGTGTAAATCAAGGCAGCACCATCTGGAAGGCTGATTAAGGAAACTATTTAACTGGGAATTATGCTTGATCCAGTCATGGCAGGGAGAGGAGGAAATATCTTGCCCCAGTTTTGAAACAGGACGCTCAAAATAAATTAAAACTATTAGCCTCTTGTTCTTGATTTTACATTTGCAATTAAACTATTACCCCAAGGGACACTGGAAAAAAAAAACAAACTACTTAAAAATTTCAAGAACTTGAGTGCTTTAAAATGAAGTGCGGGGAGTAGCAACCAGTGTTATGACATTAATTATTTGAAGCAATACACGAGAATCACTGAATGGAATTAATCCGGAGTGTCCCATGCTCAGAATTAGTTTACAATGGCATGCCGTCGCTTCCAGTCACACTTAAACCAACAGATGCCATTCAATTCAATGCTGTACGCCTGTTTCAAACTAACATCTGTTATGTTTTCTGCCCTTCCCCCTCAGGAATTATTTTTAAAGTGGTTTCCTTCTCCATCCCACCTACACACCCCTCCTATCCCCAACTGTCTCGGATCCACAGGTGCAGGCTGCCAGCTGGTGTCTCTCCCACATCACCATTCATTAGTTCATCGACCATCAACCTTGGCCATCAGGGAGCTATTTAACAAGGAGGGCAATCAGGAACGAAAACGCTGTCTGGAATTTCCCCTTCCTAACCCGGTCCTCTCCACAAAGTCTTGGCTGAGGTCAGCTAACTCCACAGGCCTGGCCTTGTACCTGAATCAGCCAGTAGAATTGCCAGGATAAAGCAGGAAAGCTCTCCTCACAGATGTGAGACAGCACTGTACAATATCACAATTGGCATAAATGTTTTGCTTTCAGGTTGTCAAAATGCAATGAGTACCTTGTCACAAGTATGACTGCTGGGACCTTGAATGTTTACAATTTATATCAATACCTTAGATGAAGAGCATGGTTGTCAAATTTGCTATTGACAAGAAGATAGGAAGAGAAGTAAGTTGGGAAGAGGACACAAGTTGTTTATAAAAGATAACAGATTAAATAAACAGGCAAAGATCTGGAGTATATGGTGGGAAAACGTAAAACAGCCCATTTTGACTGGAAGAATAAATTATCCAAATGGTAAGAGACTGCAGAGCACTCAGACGCAGGAGGGATCTGAGCATAGCAATGCATGACACGGGGATCAGATATTCCCTCTTCAGAGCGAAACTAGAATACTCTAAAAATTAGGGGTGACCCATTGAAAGCAGAGACAGGGCGAATTTTCTTTCATAGAATCATAGAATCCCTACAGTGTGGAAACAGGCCCTTCGGCCCAACAAGTCCACACCGAACCTCAAAGCATCCCACCCAGACCCATCTCCCTATAACCCACCTAATCTACACCTCCCTGAACACTATGGGCAATTTAGCACGGCCAATCCACCTAACCTGCACATCTTTGGACTGTGGGGGGAAACCGGAGCACCCAGAGGAAACCCACGCAGACACAGGGAGAACGTGCAAACTCCACACAGACAGTCACCCGAGGCTGGAATCGAACCCGGGTCCCTGGCGCTGAGGCAGCAGTGCTAACCACTGTGCCTCCCTTTCACGGAGGCTCGAGTGTGATTGGTAGTCTTCCTGAAAAGTGGTGGAAACAGGGTCTTTGAATATTTTTAAGGCAGAAGTGGATAAATTTTTGTTAAGCAAGAGTTTATCAGGGTAGGTGAGAACATGGATTTGAAGTTACCCAACAGATCAGCCATAAACTTATTAAAAAGCAAAGCTGATTTGAGGGGCCAAATGGCCTACACCCGTTTCTTGTTAGTGTGGAATTGGTTTCTGGAATAATCAGTAAGCCAAAAGTGTGCAAAATTTCTTCCAGGCCTTGGAAAAAAGGAAGAGGGCAATAGCAAAAGAACAAGTCCACATTCATCTACAGTTTCTGGTATTCATAGGTTAGTGCCAACTCCATTACAGCAAAAGAAAAAGCTTCTACCCATTTCTGTAGCAAATATGGCACAGCAAGGACAGACAAGGAAAAATGAAACTAATTTCACATCTGCGCTTTCTCATTTGCATATCAAACAGGTGGTGTGAGAAGCTCACAAACACAGCCACCCGATATGGAGAAGAGTGGACTCAGCACACTTTACTATAGCAGCACTCATTTCTAATTTGCTGAAGGATACACTGTAAGCAGAATCTGCGAATGTGTGACTGAATGAAATCAAAGTGCTCATCTCTGTAATCGTGTTCCTTCTCTAGTACACTGACCGCATCACACTGCAAAGGGGAATAAAAAAAAAGGAGATGAATACATAATATAATTAAGTAGCACAAATGAACAACAGCAGAATCTAGCAAGCATAATATACAAGTACAGCCAATTTATACACCTTGGAACCCTAAAAACACTTTTCTGCTTCGATTACGGGGAGGAAGAGAGACAAGAGACAAGAAACAAGCATGTTGATAGACAAGACCAAAAGCCCCAAAATACAGACCTTGCAGTTCTTTCTCTAACGTAACTGGACTCAGAACTCATTTCATACAAGGCAGATACAGTATTTTATGGTCCGAGTTGTTGTTACAACTAAATAAGTCAGATTCCAGAATGATATCTGGTCTGAAATTAAGGAAGGTAGTCTTGATTTAACAATAAAACAAATAAAGCTATCTACATACAACAGTTTGAAAGATTTCAAAACACAGCAGCACAGAATCCCATGTATTTCCAAACACCATCATAATACCTACTGAAAAGTCCAAAGAAATTTTTTCTGTATCAAAACTGCAGGTTTGACTTAACTGCTTTTTCTCAGTTCCTACTCTGAGCTGTGACACCTTTTGCTTCGACCACTCACAACTGAGAGCTTAGACTTTCTCAGTCTTCTAATAATCTTCAAAATTCTAGCCAGGTAGTCTAGTCCTCACCAATTACATTCCCCAAGTGCTCTGGACAATCTCCTTTTTCCCCGAGAGAGACTACACTTGCCTCTGACCCTAGTCAGATCTCCTTCAAACTGCCCATAAGCCATTGAATAAAAACAACTTACATATCCTAGACTTTGCTAAGCCAATAGCTTGACTGTTTCTCTTGCTAGTTGTAAACCACTGCAGAATAAGTAAGTTTCCAGTGACACTCCAAGAGGCAGACAATGGTTTACAAAAATAGTTCCAGAAAGCTTCATTGGAGGCCTCACTGATATTGCCTAGCCTGGTGACAAAACGTCTGAACGAAAACAAGCCAGCTCGGCGAGCAAGTCAACAACCTCACCTACAACCCGAATTACAAATCTTTGCTAAAAGAAGTTCCAGAAAGACTGACCTAGGTAATTTTGAAACCCTTCTCAAAAATAGGCCAACACACACGCCACTATTTTAAAAACTCAAAGAAATGATTAATACATAAATATTTCACCTTTCTCCATTAATTGGTTATATTAAAACAAAGAAAGAGATTAAAGATACCTTCTAAACTCTAAATTTTAGTTCTTACACATGCTTGGCATATCAACATCACGGCATTTAATGTCCATCCCTATTCACTCCAAGATGGTGGTCTGGGGCTCTCCTTGAACCACTGGTAGCTGGTTTGATACAATGGAGTGCGTTGATAAGCTCTATTAGAAGATCATTAACAACTGACCATGCTGGTATGAAATAAGAATTCTATATGGGGTCCATATTGGTTAAATGTGGAGGCTTTATTTGCTAAAAGTACATCGATGAACTCGATAGATTTTTTTTAAAAAACAGTCAACAGCTGATCAATTTACTCATGCTAGCATTTTAAAACATAAATTCCACTTTTTGTGGAACTAAATTAAGAATGTTCAAATGCCATAACTAGTTCTGAACTATTATTTCAAGATTTAGATTACTTGTCTAGCAACCACGACTGCCATATGTCATGAATTGATGCACCAGCAAGTCTTCAGGAGAATGAGGATAAAAAACAACTTAGCAAGTTTCTTTATTTGGGTATTTAAAAAATATGGTGAAAATAAAATCTAAGGCAGTATCAAGAACTTTCTGGTCATCAGTATATCTCGGCTAATATCTAAAAGACAAGACACCCAAAGAACGGCAGTGCTTAAACAAACAGCATTGCTAAAGGCACAGATGATGATCTCACAAAAACACGAGCTGCAGCACTGGCTCACTGAAATGAGGGACAGATGTCAGCAAATTTACATCTCTGGAATTTATTTTATTAAGTCAACTAAAGGAGTTTTGAACCATGAAGGGATTTGAATTTGTTGACTATTATCTGCTCAAGATTTCAGAAAAATATGAGTAGCAACCACCACTACTATACTACCTTATTGAGTGCAGATCTGTACACAGCAAATTATGTCCCACTAACTTCATTGTGCTTTCTGATTAATTAATGGAGGTGGTGAATGAAGGCTGTGCAACTGATATTGTTTATATGAACTTTCACAAACACTTGTGGACAATGCAACACATAATAGCCCTGTTAGCAAAGTGGACAGCATGGAATTAAAGGGCTGGTGGCAGTGAAGGATACAAACTAACAAAGGCAGAAACCAGGAGACAGTGGTAAATGGCTGATTTTCAGACTAGTTCAAGTAACGCCAAGTGTTCTCCAAGGGCTATTACGAGGACAAATAATAAAGGTGTGATATATATATTATTGACCTGACTTAGGTATACTGAGCATCATTTCAAAGTTTGCAGGAAACTCAAAGCTCAAATCCAACAGATTATGAGGAGGGCAGAACAGACTTCAGGAATACTTCAAGGCAGAAACAGACTGACACACACAAGATGAAATTTAACACAATGTGAAGTGATAAGCTTTTGCTAGGTAAATAAAGAACTTCTATATAAAGCAATGGAATGGAAAGGAAATGCAGGAACAAGGGTTGGGGGAGGGGGTGCGTCTTTGTGATTCTCAAAGAAAGCTGATTCCCATTTGCACTGCCTTTCATGAAAGAACCAGCATCAAATCCTCCAGTAAGAGAAATCAAAAGTCATGAGAGGTTTTTTTTTTATTAATGAGGTTTGAAGGGCAAGGTAAGGGAGATAACAATGAGCTTTGGCACAAACCCCCATGCATGAAGGGACTGTCTTTGTGGAGATAGCTCTCACAGCTGACAGAGCTGTTTATTATCTGGTTTGAAACGTCCATCTCTCTCCACACTTTGCTTTTGGAAACAAATCTGGACATGTGGTCTGAACGGGAATCAGTCCCTGGAAGGTAGCGACAATCTGGAACTTTCTCCTACCACAAGTGGCTGAAGCATTTGCCCAAAGGCATCGAACAGTAAACTGGTCAAGTACATGAAGGACCAAAACAGGAAGCAATGCAGAGGGTGTTAAAATCAACTGGAGCAGGAACAGGTTTTACGGACCATATTTTGTTATGCGGTGTAGCCATTTCAGTGTTGCAATTTTCAATATAATGTGTCATTATGCCTCCGATCCTGATTGGGGTTAAAGTAACAAATCCAGTGTAAAGATTGCAGAGAGGACAGTTTAACTCAACTTGCTCAAAATATCGAGTTCAATACTGTTAGGGCCTAAACTCTCCCATGTGCTAGCTCCCTACCCTACACACTGGGCCTCGTAATAGCCTGCCATTACACACTACATATTGTTAGTCACTAACAGTCCCCATTAACAACTATTCACCCTCCCAGCCAGGTTGTTATCAAATCCTTTGTCTAACCAACTGCTCTTCTCTCTTTGGGCTCTATCCTATCGTTAACTCTCTACCCCATCCCTCTTGCTATTTTCTGCTTATAAACCGACATTTTCCCGGCTACCATCAGTTCTGAGTAAGGGTCACCGGACCCGAAGCGTTAACTCTGTTTTCTCCTTCACAGATACTGCCAGACCTGCTGAGCTTTTCCAGCAACTTTTGGTTTTGTTCCTGATTTACAGCATCCACGGTTTTTTTTGGTTTTTCTTTTGCTCAAAGTGAGTTGTTTACAAAGGGAAAATGGTACCAAATATTCAGAACATAGCAATAGCACTGACTGCACTACAAAATGAAAACTTTAATCAATTTCAACCCAGGGAGTAGGGATGTTACAGCCAGGAACTCTGATCAGGAAAGAGGGGGGCCGAGAGGGGGCGAGGTTGGTTTGGGATAATCAATGTGAGTAACGGTGGGGCATGGCATCTGAACTAGTCAATTACCCAGTATTTAGGCTAAGACTTTTTGGTCTAACGTTTCCTGGGTCACCATCCAGTAATCAAGTCTCTAACTCAGAGCTGGAGTCTTTTGCATAGGGTCCCTAGGAGCAGGGAATTCATAATCAGAAGCTCAAACTTTACAGACAATTTCCAGAATCAGCATATCAAGAGTTTTGAAGGGTGGCGTTGCACAACTTGCAGTGTGCACCCAGTCTCTTACTCTCGAGGGATGGGAAAATCCAGTCTAAATGTTGCTGATTCGTGGACCTAATTTAGGTCAATGAACAATGGGTGAATGAAACCTTGTTTAAGTAAGGGCATAGACAGAAGAGTTTTAGGAAATCTGAAGATCAAGGGAAGCTAGCCAGTAGTGCATCAAAATAGTAAAACTTTGAAATATCAGCATGGATAAATATTTTGACAGCAAGTAAGATGAGGGTGGATGAAATGGGACTGAATTACCAAATTGGAAATAATCTTTGTGATGGTGCAGAGATGTGGCCCGGGGCACATTTCATAATCAAATATGACATCAAGGTTCTAAGTAGTGGTTCAGCATCAGAGAGCAGGCAGGAAAAGGGACGGAATTGGTAGTTTATCGCAGATGGCTTCAGTCACCCACTATCTCCGTTATTTCCCATAACTGACAAACAAATGCACAGAGTGCAAGAGTTAGTGTGGGCAGGTTTCAGTGTTTCCAAACAATGAAGATATTGAGATGGAAATAGCAAAGTGAACAGTCAATGAAGAGACCATGTCATCATTTAAACACAGATTACCTAAATTGAAAGAAAGAGAATAAAAGGGATTTGGAAATGGAGCATTAACTGGGATTAGGATTAGTGCACATGGAGGACAAGCACAAGCTTGGACAGACTCCCTCTTGCGCTCTCTTCAAAGCAGCATTCTAATGCAGTAATAAGAGGAGCAGGAAACCTGACGTTTCGGGTCGGGACCCTACTTTAGGAAGTTTTCTGAAGAAGGGTCCTGACCCGAAACATCAGCTTTCCTGCTCCTCTGACGCTGACTGGCCTGCTGTGTTCCTCCAGCTCCATACAGTGTTATCTCTCTAACTCCAGCACTGGCAGTTCTTACCATCTCTTTTAATGCAGTAGTTGATCTTTGCCAGAAGGTGTCACCATTAGACTGAGTGTTCAGAATACAGCAATAGCATGGATTGGTCTGTGTCTGCACATACACCCTGTGACTAATCATAGGCCCTGGCATTGATTAATAGCTGAAGATTCCAGGCTCATTTTGTAATCAGATTTCTGCTGCAGTGGCATGTAGGCCACTATGACAAGCGTGCACCCCAGAGTTAAGGGCAGGAAGCTCATTTGGAGGTTGGGAAATCAGCCAACATTCGGACTTCTGATCACGGTTTCAGGAGCAGCTGCTGGAAAATGCTGCTGATTAGCAGGTGGAGACAAGTTATATTTCAAAAGCCAGTTGGTGAAGGATATAGCTGGAGCCAATCTTTCTACATTTACATTATCAGCTATTTATTGTGCACACCACAAATATATCCCTCCTAAAAGTTTGTGCTTTTGGTGGCATAACTGAATCACCAAATCATATCCTACATACAATTTAGCATAATTAACATACAATTAACTCTACCATCCAGACTTGCATTCTCCGGCTCTCCTTGGTCCATATATGAAGAATTGATAAAATGTAGCAGTAAGACTGCAGTACGTGAGAAAATAAACTTCACATGTTCATCATTGAAGTTTAAGAGTCTGAAAATCTTATGTTAAGCCAAATGGACAATAAAAAGGGTTAACACAGGGAATAGATGCCGGCTAATAAAACTCTGGAAAATCGGGGTGCAAGAGATACGTCAACTCAGGAAACAGTATCAGGACTAGCCTCCCTCAAGCACCATGCAATCAAATTGCTCAACATCCTGGGGGTACTATTGACCAGAAACTAAACTGGACTCACCACATAAACATAGTGGCTATGAGTGCAGGTCAAAAGCGTAGGAATATTTTGGTGAGGAATTCACCTTATGACTCCTCCTCCTGCATCTACAAGGCACAAGACAGGAGTGTGATGAAATACTCACTCCCCACTTGCCTGGATGGGTGCAGCTCTTGTGACATACAAGAAGCTTGACACCGTCCAGAACAAAGCAACCCATTTGATTGGCACTACATCCACAAGCATTCATTCCCTCCACCACTGATGCTCAACAGCAGCAGCTTGTCACATCTACAAGATGCACTGCAAAAAGTCAAAGATCCTTAGACAGGACTTTCCAAGCCCACAAACTCTTCCATCGAGAAGGACAAGCGCAGCAGATACATGGGACACCACCACCTGCAAGCACCCTCTAAGCCACTCATTTGGAAATATTATCGCTGTTCCTTCATTGTCACTGGGTCAAAATCCTGGAATTCCCTCCCTGAGGACATTGTGTGTTTACCTATAGCATGTGGATTGCAATGGTTCAAGAATGGAGCTCACCACTACCTTCCCAAGAGCAGCTAGGGATAGGCAATTAATGCTGGCCCAGACAGTGTCACCACATCCAACGAGTGAATAAAGAACAGCTTATAATAATGTGAGTATATAATGTTTAAATCTGCACATATACATTTATGGTGAAACAATGACAGGAAAAGTATCTCTGGTCCATCCAGACCTGTTGAATGCAGAACTACATATACAATAAGTTTATGAAATGTATGCTTTTTACTCTTATTGGCTTCTCAAAGTACAAGAAATACTAAAGTTGAACAGGGGAAAAAAAAATCCTCCATGATGTTCCTTTAAAAATTAACTCCAAGGAACGTGCCTGCTTGGTTGAAATGACATGTAGACTGTGACTCAGCTATAAACCCACGCCAGCAATTTTAAATATAGCAGAGCTTTAGGAGATCCAGCAATGTTAGTAATTGAATCAAGTTGTTCTTGTGACACAGCTAGCAACAGCAATGCTGGATGGAATATCTTGAAGCATCAGCAGACTCCAACCAAATTACTTATTCAAACTTATTGCTAATCACTAGCTACTCTTGCTCTCACTGTAATTTTTCCCATTATTGAAATACAAGGCTGGGCATCACACTGAGCTATTGTCAGGTATGTTTTGGGATTGGGATCGTGCAGAGTTAGCTGACCACACTTGAAGCGGCTGTGCAATTACGATGTTCCAGGTTAGGAATAATAAGAACTGAAGTAGTTCAGTGTTTTCTCTCCAAATCACCCTGTAACATGTCTTTACACAGCAAGCTGCATTACCATTGCACCCCGGCGTCCATCACCCCCCCACTCCAAATCCCAAAAAAACCCACTTTAGGTTGGCAGCAAGTGAAAAAAGAATCTGGGAGGCATGAACGGGTATACTGATATTTAATTGTCATTACTGCCAACTTTTAAGTTAGCAAGGATGATGGGTGAGGACACACCGTTAACCAATACTTTTCCAGTTTTTGAATTTGGGTGTTGCTGGTTGGACCAGCATTAATTGCTCCTCCCTCAGTGCCCTGGAAAAGGTGGTGGTGGTGAGATGCTTTCTTGAACTGCTGCAATCCTTGGAGTGTAGTGTAATTAGGAAGGGGTTACAGGAATTGAACTCAAGAACAGGGAAGGAACAGGATGTAGTTCCAAGTCAGGATAATGGGGGGCTTGGAAGGAAATGTGCAGGTGGTCATGTTCTCGTGCACCTGCTGCCATTGTCCATCCAGGTGGTAGAAGTCATAGATCTGAAAGGTGCTGGCAAAAGGAGCCATGATGAATTGCTGCAGTGCATCTTGTAGATGGAACACACTGTTCCTACAGTATTGCTGGTGGTGAACAAAATGAGTGCTGAAAGTGGTGGACAGGTGTTGATGATGCGAGTACTTTAACCTGGATAGCGTTGAGCTTCTTTAGTGTTACTGCAGCTGCACTGGGGCTCGGTTCACTCAGGCTTGACAGTTTGTTTATGATGTAGAATGTCTCTAAAAGCATCAGTTTAATTCCTGCACCAGCTGGGGTCACTATGAAGGCCCCCACCTTCTCCACCTGCCCCTCACCCAAGGCATGACAACTCTCAGGTTAAATTAACTGCCAGATATTTCTCTCTCTGGGGCTATGGCGCCTTTCACTTTTTCACTCATCCAGTGCAGTAGATATTATTCCATTACACTCCTGACTTGCACCTTGTGAATAGTCGTCAGGCAATGGGGTGTCAGGTGGTGAGCGACTCACTCCAAGTTTCCTGGCCTCTGAACTGCTCTTTGTAGCCAGTATTTACATAATGGTTCAATCCACACACATTGCCAAAATCAATCAAATGCAGTTCCACACATTCATTTGCCCTTTTACATCTTTCCCATACATGGTAACAAGCAACACATTTCCTTTTTTTAAATCTTTCATGAGGATATGGCTTCACACTGCCATCCACAGTTGACTGAAGGTAGTGGTAGCAGGCCTTCTTGAACTAGTGCAGTCCTCATGGTGAGCATACCCCTATGATGTTGTTAGGTCAGAATTTCTTGGATTACAGAATAGCAACAGTGAACATCAATACAGAGAACTGCAATAATATGCACCTTGAGAGAGAATGGGAGCAGTGGTGACATTCCAAATATGTGCACCCATTTGACAGCAATGTTCTTGCTTATCCCCCGACTGCATGTCATCTGGGAGATTCACCATCCTCTTGAAGACAGAATGGGCAATGGCAGTCAGCCAGAATAACCATTCTTTATGTGAGAGCCAAATCTGGGAGTTAAAGCAAGACCTGGCACAACCCCTCTGTTAGCAAATACACACACTTAGTATTTCTTTAAGGCACTGAGCCCACTGCTGGCTCAAAGGTCAATAAACAAGAATAAACTAGGGACTTACTTTGTCATAAGTATGAGTACAAGCCACACTTTTGTACAAAATCAAAAAGTACCCTTGCATAAAAAATAATTGTATTTGAGCAGCAGAACAACACTCCAGCTGCTACAAGAAAACCTTAAATAAGCTCCAACGCAACTCAGTTTATAAACAACAGGACATTGAGATTCGTTTTTGCAATGTTGAGCCTGTTGGAATAACAATCCTACCTTTGTGCAGACAACCAGTACCGGAATGCCCAGATTGTGCGTCAGTACATTCTCACCCAGCGGCAAAACCACCTCCTCATCTTCCTGACCAGACACTGGAGCTCTCCTCTGCGGGGAGCCATGAGATCCTTCCTCAGGCTCCACATACTCCTGGAATTCCTTCACCACTAGAGCCAAAATGACACAAGAGGCACAAAGTTAGGAGCAAGAAAATGATATTTGGATCATTAATTCCTCAGTCCATTTCAAATCAGTTGCCAGCTTTCTCTTATCTCCTTCCAATCCAGGATGTCATTTCCCTCTTCTCTTCTCCTTCATGATTCAAAAAAGATGCACCTCAACAATCATACAAGCTGTTCCTTTGTGGTGTATGGCTTTCTTTGAAGCAATGTCACTCACTTGCCAGTGGGCTATTCCATATTTTCACTGTCCAGAAAGGAAAAGGCTATCCTTTCTAATCTTTCGTTAAGGTTATGAAATTTCTAATATCGTCTGAGGTTACGTACTTGCTACTTGAGCCATCTAAAAAATCCACAGCCTCCAGCAAGTTTACTGGTTGAGATGTGAAATCTAGCTACAATGTAAGAAGCTAGTCGCAGACCACTGAATTTTTTTTTTAAAAAGAGGAATTCTTGATTTTTCAGTTTTCACAGATGTCATGTTTTGGATACACCCAGAGCACAAAGCACTCAATCGTGACTAACTTAACCATAGATATGACTTGACAACCAATAAATATTCCAGTCATTTCCTGAATCATAGATCATTTATTTTCTCTCCAGGGAAGTTGGTTAACTACAACAATGCTCATACTACCTGCACCAAACTTAAACTTATTCTTCCACTGCCTTCATACAAGTCAGTTTGTAATCAAGTTGATTACACTCTCTTTCCTCTAAGTTAGAGGTTTCTGGGTTAAAGTTTCACCCCAGATTTAAGCAAATAATTCAGACTGACAAATGCAACACAATAATTGTCATGAGTCAAAATATGTATTTATTTGAGAGCTGTTCTTGAAATTTTCTCACAGGCTACCTTTTGATTTTTAGGAGCTCTTTTTTATTCTCACCAACTCATTTATTAGAAGGTGCAGTCATGCAGTAGAAATATCTTCTTTATTTGAGTTGACACTTGGGATATTGAGATTCACACAAAAGTAGCATTAGAATAATTTATCAATATGCTCAATCATTATTAATCCTCCATCAATACTAAGACACAACTCAAGGCAGACGCTAATTTTATAGACACTATAGTATTTAAATTGGCAAAAGACAAAAAGGCATAAATCAGCAAACGTATACAAAAAAAAGTCAATACCATTAACACCTTCTGGATTGCTGACAGCTAATCAGTTACCATTGCATACACAAACTTGAAGATTTTAACAAGGAATTTTCACTGTATCATGGACATCAGATAAGCCTAACAACTGACTGTATTCGTTATTACATCCATTGCACTTTGCTCCATATGGCAGCTCCTGACTGGTTGCAGTCTTAAACTAGAGATTTCAAGCAATTCATTATCTCAGTTCGCTGAGTATTTCTTTGTTGACAGGTTTAAAATTCATCTCTTCCCCTTACAACCTTCTTTCTCTTCCCTCCCCTCATCCCATTCTTGCAGTTTCCTCTCTCCTTTGCCACCTCCTGCTTCCTTCGTCCCCCATTTCCACTGGAGGTTCTCTTTTCTGTCTCTCTCACCCGTGTCAAGTGTGGTCAATGGGGCTGAAGTGTAAACAGTCAAGCTGAGGCCTCATGGTGCAGTGGTAATGTCCCTACCCCTGAGCCAGGAGGCCCATGTTCAAGTCCCACCTGCTTAAGACGTGCATCATAACATCTCTGAACACCTTGATTTAAAAAGGTACCAAAAGGAGGAACAGCTATGTGGGGGCTTTTGCTTTGTGGTGGTACTATCCCTACCTCTGAACCAGGCCTATGTTCAGGTCCCACTAGATCCAGAGGTGCGTCATACCATCTCTGAACAGGTTTATTAGACAAAAGTATAAACAGTCAAGCTCAGGGGTTCTTGTAGTGCAGTGGTAGCAACCCCACCTCTGAAAATATCTAAATGGTCAAGCTTTAACAAAATCGCAGACACAATGTCTTATGAACATAAAGATGGAAAGCCTGATGTTTAACTTAAGGCTTTTGTAGCACCATGCTAGTGTCCCTACCTCTGATGTACCTATGGCTCCAGGGAAAGACTAATGTAATTATTCAATGAGGTCAGCCAGATGGATCTCAGAATATGAGTTCCCTGATTGAGGTCGTTAACCTGGTCCAATCAGGGAGTCCTGGCTGACAGATATAAACAGGTGTGTCAGGAGTTCTGTTCACTCTAGGAGCCAGCTCTGAGCTAGCTGGGTCAGTGTCAAGTACTGTGCATATAAATAAAGGGCAACTTGTTGACGGGATACTTTGTGGAGCTGTTTCAACTATGACCTGAAATGAAGAACAGATGCTGCCTGACCTGCTTTGTACTGAGCATTTTCTGTTCTGATTGCACAATTTTGTAGGTCTGTGTTACAAATCTGGTGAAAGAAGTGCCACATAGACAGCAGTTGGGAATTAGACACATTTGTCAGGCAACATCCATGGAAAAAGAACATGTTAACGTTGAGTCTCGATGACTCCTCAGAACTGATGTGAAGTGTGGAGGGGGCAACATTTATGCAATCATGGGGAAGGGTGGATTCCTGGATGAGAAAGCTTGCTGTCTCTCCATGGATGCTGCCTGACCCACTGTAATTCCTAGCCTTTTTTGTTTTCAGTACATTTGGAACAGCGTGGGTTTCCATTTCATTTACACACAAACCGGAAACAAACAACATTACAAAGGCAGATGAATGCAGAACAGTGGAATCACAGAATCCCTACAGTGCAGAAACAGGCCATTTGGCCCATTAGGTTTGCATCAAACCTCCAAACAGCATCCTACCCAGACCCACAGCCCCCACCTGCATGGGGTTTTTACCATAACTAACCCATTTAACTTACACATTCCCAGACACTAAAGGAGCACCTTGAGGAAACCCACCCTTGAGGGGGAGAACACACAAACTCCACACAGACAGTCGCCTAAGGGTTGAATCGAACTCGGGTCACTGGTGCTGTGTGACAGCAGTGCTAACCACAGTGCTGCCTCAAAATCAAAACCAGAAGAGAAAGGAAGGACATCTAAAACTGAATGCCAAAGCATTTTCAATTTGAAGCTGGCTTGGCACATGGGAAGTTAACCCCTATGTGAGTGTTGTTGGCTCTTATCAAGGACAGCCTACGGCCTATACACCAGCACTGCTCTCGCACAATCTGGACCACATAAACCACTGAGAAACACTCACATTGCCCCTATCATAACATGGCTGAGTGCAGCTATGCGGAAATTTTTTATTTTTCAAAATAACACAAATGATGCAACCCTTGAACAGCAGCAGTTAATTACTACTTAAGTTTACACAGTCCAACCACCAGCAAACAGCCAATAATCCAACATTCCCTTCCTGAAGGGACATATTAATTAGCATCAGAGGCTGAAGAACTCCTTATCTCGCAATTTCTTAGAAGCTGCTCGTGGCACTTCAATTGCAATATCATTGCTGGTTCCTTCAATTTGTGTTCAAGTGTGTAAAGATTAGGATCTGGACCTATCCTTCACTTTTTTGCTTTCTGGAAGTTGACTTAATGGGTGTTACATTACACCGTGCAGTGGCCAGTCTGTGAACACACTGATGCCAGTACGGAGGGAGCGGCAGAAAACAAAATAAAAGACATACATACACCGTTTGAAAATAAAATGAGCACTGCTTGCTTTTTTTTAATATAAAAGACCATAAATCAAGCTTGAAACCACATTCAGGGTAGTCACAAAATATGTAATGGCCCAAACACCGAAGAATGCAGAGACATGCATGTCATAGAACATGGTTTCACTGTGTCAAATGACAGGGAAGGAAAATTCCCCTTACAAAATGACACACTAACTGGGGTGCGCCTTTAACTAGCCAGTGTCAATAGCGATATCAGCTTGGACTTTATCAACAACACCGCAATCCCAAGTGCAGTTATATATACACATATTCTCCACTCCAACCCAAGTAATTCTATAAATGGGCAGCACTCGGGAAACTGATATTGTTGTTTCAGTTTCTGACCTAGCAACAATCTTCCACAGCAAGCAATCAGGCTTCTCCAATAAAATCAACAAGGATTTTATTTTAAATTTCTCGAAGGGTTTACACTTTACAGCATTTTCTGCTTTTGGTTTAAGAAGCCAAGTAAAAAGCAAGAACTGGACTTTGCTTTGCCATTTATAGGTACATTCTGCAACATGAATACCTCAATCGCCTAACTGATTCAGTTTCAGTGTTACTGATTTGGATCGAAGTTGAGAAATCCACTCGAATTGAAAAAACAACAGATGGAATCCCTGACAAAATTGTAACGTATGGTGCACAAGGCTACTCAACTTTATTTTCTAGGAAAGGGCCGCATGCCAGGGCATCTCAGGAATCCTACAATTGTGACCGAATTCAAATGAAACAAGTCTGATCACACCAACTACAGAGGAGTGTCTCAGCTGTCTTCAGCAAACATCCTCATTTCTCACCTTATGACTGAGAAGTCATTGACTATGCAATGGACCAATGACAACACTGAGGCACTCATGCAGCATTGTCCTTGGACAAAGCTCACTGACCTCTAAGTAACACATCACACCTTCCTTGATGCTAGGTGCGACTCCAACCAGAAGACTCATTTCCCCAATCCCCACTTGACCTCAATTTTGCTAAGGCTACTTGATGCCACACTCAGTCAAATGCTGACTTGGTGTCAAGGGCAGTCACTCAGGTCTCAGAAATTCACCTCTTATCTTTGATTGGACCATTGTCTGAAGCTGTGACCCTAGCAGAACTCAAATAAAGCACTGATGAGCAAATTACAAACTAAATGCCACTAAAAACAGTCCTGCTGGCAATGCTCTCCATCATTTTGCTACTGAATGAGATTAGATTGATATGGTGATTGATGACAGACCCAACATTTTGCATTCTCGTATGAACTGGACATACCTGGGCATTTTTCCACATCACCAGTTTGACTGATGTTAGCATCGTAGCTGAACTAGGACAGCTTCGATAGCAACTATTTCTGAAGTTTTGAAATTG